GGCCCTTTGTATTTAAATACTTTATATTTATATCAAGGGGGTCCTCTTTACAGAGGCTGCCATGTTTTTTTACATTAGTCCAGACTGGACAAACTCTACACGTTTTGAGTTTTTATGACAACTGAAGCTACCACAGTTTATTTTTCATGTTTGGAAGGAGAGGGTGAGGTGAGGGGTGTTCAGCAGCAACATGCACTTTCAACACTAGATATCACTAAATTCTACACACTGAACCTTTAAAACATTTAAAAACCATGATGGAAATGATCAACATTAGTATCCTTAGAGCGTCACAAACAGGATTTAATGTTATCTTGATTCACCGCTCTCTCACACACAAGGTGACGGGGGCCTCTCCTTCACCTGAGCTCATTGCCGCCGCTGCAATTATCCAGAAGAGTTCAGCCCGGAGGTCAAAGATCTGCTGTCACCACTTCAATAACGGCCGAGCAGCGGAATGATGGACGCATGTTATCTCCATGATGATGCTCTCTGCCTGCTGGTCATAACCTTGATGCATATAAAACAAGGTCATGCACATGCGTGCACACATCCATGTGGTACACACAGTACAGTGTTCGACACTGTCACCTACAACAATGATACAGAAACAGGTTTTTTCATTTATTATGGGGAGACTTTTTTCTTTCCTCCCCCATTTTTAACACAAAAGCCGTGTAGAATTCAATCAGCGTGATAGTGAAAAACACTCTGTACGTCTATCTTTGTGAGGACACTCATCGACATAATGCATTCTTTAGTTTAGCCCCTTATCCTACCATTAATCCATCACAACTACATGCTATAACCCCAACCCCGATCAAAACCATATTCTAATCTTAACCCTACAACCAAGTGTCCTCAAATAATCAAAATGTTCTCACTCCAGTGATTGAAAACTCACATTGGTCCTCACAACATACAGCAAAATATTCACAAACACACACATGGTAACAAAAACAACACGCGGCCGACTGTTTTCATTCCGGCCCTCTGCTGTCATTCTTATCAGGACCAATTAAACGTTTAAAAGGGACGTCGCCACAAATTGGCGTTACATTAATTAGTACAGCACGAAGCCCACATTACAAGTAATCTTTCAACAACAAAGGGCTGCGGGGGACAGCATAATAATGAGGACTGGAAATGAGTTTTCATAGGCGGAGGAAAATTAAATGATAATCTCATGCAGGGGATAATGGATGATTTCTGCAAGGCGAGTAGCACTGTGTGCTCGAGATGACAGCGTCAGTGGCTCGGTCAGTGGAGTTTTGTGCAGACTGGAAGACCTCGTGGACTGACTGGATGGACTGTGATGAAATCTGTGACACATTCATCATTTCCATCAGGCTGAAGTATAACTGACTCTTCCTATAGATTTTCTTTATTCTGCTTTGTGGTGATTCACAAAACAAATGACATTCCCATCAGTCTCAGCCATAAACTGCATTTAGAATCATAGCAAGAAGACCTGCCTACTCCATGTTAATGGATGGGACGTGGACCAAACTAAAAAGTCAAAGTACACGTCAAATATACACTGGTGTTTGTTCAAGTGCTCAATCACATGTTAGGTTTTAATTAGTTATTTGATGCAATAAAAATGTGGTGAAACATGATTGACAGTTGACGCTAACTCATGATTGGTCAAATGTACCTCCCAATCGCTACAGTAGACTCCGGCTAATAATGTGCATTAGTATTACAGTATCAACCAGACTATACATTTTCGGTTGGGGTAATGTTGGCTGCTTCAACTTGAGCTTTTTATACTGTGCATGTCTGTAATTGAGGAAAACATCTTGGGTCCGGTCTGGTCACAAAAAAGAACCCAGAATCCCGCTCGGGTTTGCGTCAGTCTCGGTTAGCTTTCTTACTCACTCAGACAGAGTGACAGAGACTGGGGCCAAAGCTGCACTCGTCTTTATCTTGGCTACCGTTTAAGGTCTTAGCTTTTTACTAAGGCTACACAATTAGCAAATGCTAGTTAACTTCTCAATACCAATACAATGGCTTTGTGAACACATGTCTGAACCAATCTTCTGTTTTTTTGCGGCAGAAATGATTAAAGTGTGTTAAATCCTCATAGAGCCAAAGTGCTAATCTCTTGATGCTAGCTGTGTTTCCAGAACCGCTGAGTTTGCAAACCTGTGGGCCAGTTTACAGTGAGGGCAGCTGCAGGATTGGGGAAGGAGTTTGTGCTTTGCATGGTTTTCAGAGATTTTTCTTCCCCCTGCATTTAGTGGATTTAATCATTTGGCCAGCAGGTTGAGATATAATCCCACAGGCTGAACACAAGTAGAGTATCACAGTTTGAGGATTTCCCCTAAGGACGTTAATGCTGCACAAGATGAAAAAAACCTATTACATAACTGAAGTGTTGATAAGAAGCCGCTGTGTGTTTCTAGAGGGTCTATTTTCGAACAAAGTTCTGATTGACTGTGTGTGTGTGTGTGTGTGTGTTCACGCAGATAAGTACTGAATGCATTTCTGTGAAGTTCGCGGGGTTGATATGCTGCTTTTGAGCAGACCCCCTCCAGGCACTGATATGATGCACATTTTCTGGATTTACTGTAAATCATTACTCACTCATACGCTAACACACACATGTAAGCATGTGCACGCTGGCAGGCAGTGTGCCATTACTCCTGTGAGCTTGAAGTCAGTAAACAGTGATATGCAGCACACATCGGCCATCACTCAGTGCTCAGTGAAAGCTGCAGATGCTGTGTATACCATTCATATGATTCTTACCCAGAGCAGGCCAGTGGAAAAATAAGATAAGAAGCACGTTCAGGAAAAACATCTCTAGTTTTATCTCGTGAAGTTCAAGGACAATGTTTCCATCTATTTTTTAATTAAGTATACAGTCTGTCATAGTTCATTTAGGAATTGTCGTTTCAAAATGATTGCTGGTACCATAACAGCTATGATAATAATAAACAGTATAATAGAATTTCTCCTATCTCTGCTGCCATGCAGTTCCACACATACAATGAATGAATGGATAAATCTATACATGAATAGATAAATAAATAATTCCTATGTGATGCAATACTGCCACCTGGCAGTGCTCTGCAAGTACAAATGAACACTCAAACAGGAAATACATATTGCAGGTATATTATTGGTAAAGCAAATAAAATACTGCAATAAAATGTATACATTCAGACATAAATATGTTTTTTTTTCTATAGACACTAATAATTAAATACATTTCACAGTCTTGAATGTGATTTGATGTAACTGTTGACCAACCAAAAACACTTTTGATTTTTTTAAAGCTTTTTCATGCGAACTCAGAGATCTATATAAACCAAAAAAATGTAAATATGGATCCTTTTAAAGAATCCAGCAGCTAACACTGGTTAAACGAGAATAAGCTCACTCGTCCACTTTTACCGCCATGATGTTTTTATACTGACATCTTCCAAACTACTTTCTAAGAGGAAAGCTTTTTGTTTGAAGTGAGTGAAAGCTTAGTGGTATTCATCAGTTACAGTCGAGCAGTTTTTATTTCTGGTGATTGTATTTAAGCTTCAAAAACCATAAAAGTGGTTTTCATTTTTTAAGATCATTTTGTTGAACCAAAAATGTGAATATCAGAAAATGTAGTCAAAGAGCTTTGCTGCATTTATCCAAAAGCCAAAAGATAAATCCCACTGGCTGATTTACAGATTGGGCCTTTTAGAAATACACTCATCCCTGCAGCACTCTCTAAGAATCACATGTACAAACAAAGTCACCTTTTCAAATGCAACATTGCTGTTGCTGCTGCAGATGTTGGTGATAATGAAGGTGCAATTCAGAGTTTGTTACAAAGCTCCATGATGGCGATTGTCGTACTCTGTCCAAAGATGAAGGCTCCAACCACAACAGTTATGATTCCCCACACTGTTAAAATTACCCTAAAGTTAAAGAAAAATAAATGGAGATGAAGAGAAATATCCATACAGAGGACTTTCAACAACAATAACAAACAAATAACATGAATTTGATTCCTAATCATACTTTCATTCATCAAAAACACTCTTCTACTATTATTATCAATAATTAATTTTTCAATTTTTTGACAATGTAATCCAGAATCTGAAAGGATTCAGGTTATTTAGGTTATTGCTTTTTCTATTAGATTAATTAAGTTTTAATTCAAAAAGAAATCAGATTCATCTAATTTCACAGGTTCATAATTTCAAAACACTTTCTGATGTGTGATAATCACCAGGAAACAATTTCCTTGAAAGGTAATCACCATTTTGGCCAAAGTTAATTTTCATTAATTATTTGAAACTCAATTTCTGTGAACTGATTAAATGACTGTCTAGGTTACATTGGCAGTTAATTTGATATTAATTAATTAATTGAGAGTGGACCAATTAAATTACGGAAATAATTCAGACATTATCGACCTGTAGAATAAATAAGAATAAAAAATAAACTTTAAAAAATCATAATTTCCTGCAAATTTGACCCAGTTAAACTCACACTCACCTGATTCTTGGAGTCACAGTTTCTGTTTGCATTAAGAACACTAAGCAAAGACCTGCAACACACACACATACACACAAAATCTAATTTAATCAAACCATCGATCAAACTTTATTTGTGAAGCACTATATTTAATCCAATTCAGGATGATAGATTAAAAAAAAACATTGTCTCCTTTTGAAGAAAATATTTTCAGTTTTTATTCTTCTATGGCAATAAACTAAATCTGTTTTCGTGTTTGGAAACTCGAGACAAATAAAACATTAAGGAGTGCAATATTATAATCTATTTTTGACATGTTGGAGTGCAAATGATGAATTGACCATCAAGGGAATAATTGGGAGATAATGAAAATACTCAGTTCTAATCCAATGCTCCACTGACAATTGACAAGTTGATAATAAGACACGGCAAATCTATGTTGCTAGCTTGAATACACACCATGTCCATTCAGATGTGATTATGTGATTACAAACACACACATATTTAAAAGTGAATGTTGTTTTCATACCAGGAAAGATAAAGATGAAGAAGGCACTGATTCCTCCGATGACACTGATGACCTCGCCCATGTCAGGGACGAACATGGCGATGAGGAGAGTGACGGCGATCCAGATCACAGTGAGGACCACTCTGCAGCGAGTCTCAAACGAGGGAGTGACGATTCCCATCCGGCGCCTCTGAACTCGCAGCATCAGGTTCAGGATGACAGATCTGTTCCACACACACAACAGAGACATACACTGTTACAAAGACACAGTGACTGCACAAAACAACTCGACAACTGTTGTCACCCACCTCCCCAGGAGAAGAATGATAGGATAGATGGTGATAATCGAAATCCCAAAAAGTAATCTGGAAATGATCATGACCACGTCATTTCCTGGATATGACATCAAGATATCTGAGGCCACAGCTCGTCCGAACGTCATGAAGCCGTACACACCTGGAGATGGAGAGAGGGGATGTGATCAGCAATGTTCAGGTGAGAACACAGAAGTGAAGAAAACACGTCAGTGTCAATGTGGACTCACCAGTTAGAGTGTAGATGAGCAAACAGAAGAACATGGAGACCACAGAGATGACCACCCAGTGAGAGAGCTTCTGGTTCTCCATGCTACTGTAGATCGCTATACAGGCTTCATGGCACTGCAAAGACACACACAAACACACAGATGTGCACACACACTTTGATGAGGATGTCAGACAAACTCAAGGATGCATTCGATATGAGAGAGTTGAACTGTGACTTTCATCTTCAACTTGTTGGTAATGCTGAAAAAACAAAACTGTCTAAAAAAATGTTACGAGAAATGGTCAACAGACTTGATTGGTGTAAACTTTCAAATACCTGGGGTTCTTAATTGATGACTAATTTCTGTCAAGTATCTTTGTTGTATAAGTGATAATAGCTAATAGATGGATGGATCAGTGAAACATTGGCTATGTTGTATATTTGACCTATATGATCTCACCTGGAAGCCAAAACAGATGGTTGGTACAACACTGAACATCGAGGCCCATGAACCCACACTGAAAAACACAGGACACACACACACACACAGTTACTGATGCAAAGAGGACCTGATGTCAAATACACACATGCATCCAACTGTGTGACTGACCCTTGGCTGTGCTCTGGAGTTATTATGACCGCGTGGGTGTCCGCCAGGTAATATTTGACGATCACTGCCACACACAGATACGTGGCAGCCAGCGTCCCCAGCACACTGACAGGAGGAGACAGGAGAAGTGACGAAAACAACACACAGTCAACTGGATGTCATTCTCACTAGAGGTACAGGTCAGTGTTTTGTACCTTGTGTATTTCTGGATCCCGATTTCTTTTGGGATGGACAAGGGGAGGATGATGATGAGGCACATGATGAAGAGGGCAAACCTCTGGTCTGTGTACCAGTAATACGGCATCTCTGCCTCAGTGGCACCAGTCACAGTTTCATATAAAGAAATACACACTGAGAGAGAAAAGCAGAATTAGAAGAATAATTAGAGGATCATTAAGGAATCAGCATACAGGACAACATCAACAACAAGACTCCCCAGATACATGGTCGTCTATATTTACAAAGGATTCATTTACATTTTGCATCCTGCTGAACTGTGTGGTTCATGTTTTTCAATTGTTAGATAAATGCTTTGATGTTGGTGGATGAACATATAGAATAATTAAAGCAGAATATTCTTGTTTATGTGTCAGGGAATGTGTAAATCCCTCGAGTCTTCAATGAACCGTTCAAGGAGCCACCCTGACATATAGCTTTCAAAGGGAAAGGCCTGGCCATTTTCCCTGTGGGACCTCCAGCTGTTCACCTCCTGCTCTGCACTTACACAGTCGGCCTGTCCTGCACCCTGCCCTGACCCTCAGCCATCAGATGCCACTGAAGTTGATTCAACCCTCCACAGACGTCCAATGTCCCACCCTGGCCTGCAGCTGAATCCCTTCGAAACAGTTTTCTTTTCCTGACCTCCAGTCTCGTCTCTGAACACCAGAGCACCTCCACGATCCGTCCAAGATCCTCATCTGTCCTGCTCTGCAGCCACTGATCAAATGTTTTTTATGTTTGTTTGTGTGTGTGTGTGTGTGTGTGTGTGTGTGTGTGTGTGTGTGTGTGTGTGTGTGTGTGTGTGTGTGTGTGTGTGTTTGAAAATCCAATCAAATGCTCTGTTTGAAGCTGGAACAGAGCAAAACCATTAATGGGATTTTAAGGGTTTCACATGGATAAATGAAAAATGAAAAACAGTCGCATCTCTGCGCCCAGTCACATGTTTACCCAAATACTGGCTGGAATAAAAATTAAAGTGCAGATGAATTGTCAGAGAGATTAATTTTTTTGATATGGGAAATGAATAAACTCGTAGTACTTTGATAATATGAAAACAAATAATCTATGTTTTACGTTTATGCTGATTTTATGTTTAATGTTCAGATATTTTAAAAGTTAATAAATCTATTAAATACATATTAAATAGATTCTGTATAAAAGGGTTTTGCAGCTAAATTCCCTCAACAAGTAAGTTATATAGAAAATGGTGCAAATATGTTGATACTGAACAAATCAGTAAAATATTGTTTTTCATCAATCTGATTGATCTGCAGAACAATATGTATTTTTAGTGACAACAGCACAATTAATTGTTTTGCATAGCAGTTAGTTAACATAAGAAAAACATTTTGGTTTGGTTTAATTCAGAAAAAAGTAAATTTCAGACACAAATTTCTTTACATATAACCAAAACCACAATCTTTCCATAACCGGAACAAAATACTTTCATTGTCTAATTCTAACCATAGACAGGACTCGCACAATTGTGAGGTAGAAATTCAGGATGGACTCTGAGATGTAACTGTTGCTAAGTTGCCCTTGTCTCGATGCAATTTACAAACATTTTTTAAAAAACTCTCATTTTGGTGTGTTGGGACTTAAAATGTGGTGAAACAGGAACACTGTTCCATAGAGAGAAGACATAACCTCAGTCAGTTTGGATCTAGAGCATCATACCCAGGTTACTGACACTGATGTGAATGGGGTTTAATTAATTGTTGATCTTGACACAAAATGTGGTTTGAATCCGACACCTGGGCCTGAATTACTGATGAAGAAACTGATCCATTTTGATAATTGCATGTTAAAGCATAAGACAGGTGTATGGACACAACAGCAACAGAGAAGCCGTGGCCAAACACTTAATATAATAAAAAATAATAATAATGAAACTTTTTGCAACCAGACGAAGGTAAGAAAAAGAAGCATATCAACTATAACATGGACAACATGGTCTGTTATAGGTTATAACAGAATGACATGATACTTGTGGGTCTTACATTTCTCCAGCTGGTCCTGCACCACCACCAGGAAGGCGACACATATCATGAAGAGGTTGAAGCAGAAACAGACCTCACAGAGCTGCCCCACGGCTCGTCCGCACACCTCGCTCACCACATCCTGATAGGTTTTCTGTCTGCTGATGGACGATGCATAGCCGAGGATCACCAGGCCACTGATGAGGAAAACCAGAGATACCTGCCGAGACACAAGGGGAGGAAACTGGACTTAAACTGCCCACAGGTCGAAGACAACTGGCTTCATCCTTCTGTACCTCATGACCAGAAATATACAATCCACAGCAAAAGAAATGTATTAACATATAATCAAATGTAATTAAATACAGGGGAAAATCCCCATTTGAAAACAAACAGCAACCTAAAGAAAAAAGGTTCATTTGTATCATCTTCACCTAAAAATAATTTTAAAACTTAAACAATAAAACTCATTATCAAAATAGCAGTGCATTCGATTTTTGCCAGTCAACAAATTGATAAATCAATGAACTGTTTCAGCTCTTGACACTTTACTCACTACACAGTATTATGGAAACAGAACAGAAACATTCTGTTTCTGCTTTCTAGCTATGCTGTTATTAATATTATGTTGTCACACACATTCTCATTATTAACAAAATGTGCCAGTGATAGCCAGCTGGCTGTTTTTCAACAGCGGTCAACACAAAAAAATGACGATTCAATATTTGCTCATATTGGTATCAGCAGATTTTCTGTGTGAAGGAAGGGGATTGGAAGTAAAACAAATGACTGACACATTGAACACTGACCAACCCTCACTTCAGACATACAGGCTCCTGTTTGGGGGCCCCTGGACCTCTCGTGCCCGTGGGCCCCTTTCTGGAAGCCCATGTGGTTTTTCATCCAGTCACACACACATTTTTGTGTCAGTCAGTGGAAACAGTGCAGTGAAAGTTCAGGTCCTCACCTAAACTGGAAGCTTCATTAGAGCATAGCTGTGAAAAAGATGAGCCTCTTTCACACCAAGGAGAGACACAGGGGTCCTGAGTCTATTATGTGCCAACACAAAAACTAACCACACAAAATCCTCCAGGTAAAGTCAATGAAGTAGAACCAAAATTCCTAATTGCTCCTTGAAAATGTAGAGAATGTATTCATGCAGGCCCAAACTGACCCTAAACAATACAGTACAAACAGGAATGTGTTGTTGGAGCAGGTGTCTGATCCTGTACTCACCACCTCCACAGTGATGGCAGTGTTCACTCCCCCTGCCTTCTGGAAAGCCCAGGGGAAGTTGAGCAGGCCGGCTCCCAGCGCAGACTTCAGCATGATGAACACGGCACCGAACGAGCCGAGACGAGGAGGATCCGCATGAGACGCAGACCGGGCCAGCAGGCTGATGCTCTCCCTGGCCAGTTCCTCCATGATCCTGAAGCAACTCCGACACTCACAACACCAAGAGTAGAAACTTCGACAGCTAGATTTTGTGATCAAATAACTTCTCTACAGTCGTCCAGGTGTTTGGTTCATTCTGCTCCCTGTCAAGTAAACCTGGTGAGTGGTGAACCCTGCAAATATATAGACCTGCACCCACGACTCACGTGGTCAAATTGGACTTTTTCACTATTAAGCATTTCGCTCTAAGGTGAGAAATGTGACACTAAAGTGAGTATGTTTGCTTGTGTCTGCTTTCCCTCTCCCCCTTCATGTCTGTCTCTGATCTACAGCACTGAAGAAACTGCTGAACCTAAAACAACACACATTATACTATATATATCATTGGATAACATTCTATAAGTGGCACTTCTCTGTATAAGTAAACAATCTAAAAGCATAACTCAGCAACCTGGATTTACCTGATAGGGATCTCAAGGGGCCTCTGCATCTTCCTCTCATCTCAATAAAACAAACATTTCTTTGCTGAATTGTCATGTGGTTTAAGCTTTAATGTTGAATGTTACGAAGCATGATTGAAAATTACCCTTCGTGGGTCATATAAACACGAGGAACTGTTTTCATTTGCACAGGTCCCCAACTGATTAGCAACTGAAAACACAATGGATAAATATCAACTCTGGAGGAACCATGTTTCAAGGTTAAATGACATATTTGATGACAAACATTAGCATTCAACCACTTTCTGCTAACATCACTGTTTAATACCTTTAAACTGATACAATGGGAAAGAGGTTTTAATCCTGAAATACCAATGCATCTCTGAGACAGAATTATTTAAGCCTCGAGGTAAAATGCATTGGAATCAAGCTTGTGATCAAATGCTAAATTCTCAGTTTAATGCAAAAGAATTTGACCAGAATATTTCTGAGCTCAGGTGAAAAGACTTGATGACAGTGAACGTTACATTGCAAGCTTGTTTACATCCACTACATTCTATTAAAATGAATGTGTCTAAAGTGTGCATTGATATTTCAATGTAAAAACACCTCTCACTGAAAGGAAGTGGTTGAATACCAAAGTTAGCTGTTCTCTAATATTAATCAAATATGTCCCTTGAAACAGTTTTCAACTCTCCATCATGTTTTTAGTTGTTGAACAGTTTGGGACCTGTGAAATTAAATATAGGTAATATATATTTTTATATATAACATTATTCTGTTCATAAAAGCATTTCAGTTTCTCACCCTGAGTGTGATGTTAGAGATAAATGTTCGCTGTGTGAATGTGGTATAAGGGCCTAAATATGGTTTAGTAAAGACTCTGTCCTCAGATAAGTCGAAACTCCAAAATAAAACACACTTTTGATCAAAGGTTATTCTACTTACTGCTGACAGTCACCATGTTGGATTAGGTCAGTGCTTATTTTTTTATTTATTTCGAACATATTTCATACTTAATACATGTATTTACAGAGTAATACATAACAAGTGTTCTGCTCAGCTTATAGGATTGTAGCCTTTTTTATTTTCTGGTGAAAAAATAGAGTCCTGGTTCTATGTATTGTCTGGTACAATCTACTACTACACATGGAATTCATAATCCCAGCCATGTTTTATGTTACTCACCATCTGTTACAGTGCAGAGAGCACTGAAATCCTATGATTGTTGCTCTCCATCTCACTCACTCACTTTAAGAGAGCATGAGATCTCTTTATTAAGGAGAATAAAAAAAGACTTTTGCTGTATCTTAAACATTTCAACAGCTGGATGCACAATGTGTGGGCTTTGGAGCACTTTAAGATGTCATGGTGATGTTGCAGATTTCTGTAAGTGAAATGCAGGACAAAGAGATTAATGGGAGCTGATGTGTTCTAGGGACAGTTCAGAGACTTAATGGCTGATCCTCCAGGCTCGAACGATTTCCACCAACATCTCAGGATTCCACCTTTTAAAAGGTCAAGACCTTTTTGTTTTTTAATAACGCTACGTTTGTAAAACTTGAGAGTGACCACAAGATGACGATCATGATGAGAATTACACAACAAAAGGATGTAGAAACAATGGACTGTCAAAAAGAAAATATACAGAAAGCAACAGTGGGCAGTTTTTAATTAAATGTACTGTTTGAATAGTACATTTAATATATTTATATGTAATACACTTGTAGATACAAAAATACATATATAGATAAATAGATAAATACCTTAAATACATTTACATTGTTTCTTGGCAGACAAAATAAAATGTGTTTCTTTAAATAATTATTGAGCCTGATATTTAGATTGAATCATAATTTATTTTCATTTGATTCTGTCTTTATAGGGCTTACAAATATTATTTTAAACCCCATTAATTACCTTATCATTAAAAATATAACTGAGTTTTTTAAATTCTAATTGACAAAACATTATTGCTCATATACAAGCACATTGCCTTCAGATTCCTACTCAAACCACCGTAGCACTTTTATCTTATTTTTTCTGATTTTATATCATCACATTGAAATCAAATGTGGTCAGTATCAACATGGAAGCTCTGACTGAGGCTCAGTCACACAGCAACAGATTTCACTCCCTCCCTTCTGTGTCTGTGGTGACCTGCCATCTTTTGTGCAGTAATGGCCAGATCAGGGATATAATCTGGATTGTACACATGTAGTCCGTCAGCAAAAAGTAGACAAAACCCGTGACTTCCTGACATGCAGTCTGATTTCAGCTTAAGAGTCAAATGGAGAAATGGTCATGTGCAAATTGCAATAGAATCAACTATAGCAATAGAATCAACAAACCTAAAGATAGGAAGTGTGTGAAACAGCACTTTTTAAAATTAAATCAGCCATTAAATCTGTAAATTTTCAATTACAAAGGCTGCATGGTGGTGACCTCACATTTAATCTGTGTAACACATGAATATAAAGCACAATGTCCAGCTGAGGTTTCAGTGACCGCTACATTAACTTCCTAAATTCAGAATACTGCAGTAATGAAACCGTCACCTCTGACCTGCAGTGGTCACACCTGCTTACTTCACATTCAGGTCATACGTCAAGTCACGTAGCACAATCAATCACCATCGTCTTTCTACTCAGTTTATGTCCTCCACGCTCTGAGGGCGCTGACACTGCTTTCAAGGGTTTCGAGGTACAACCTGATACTCTGGACGAATAGAGACGGATGAGATTAGTCTCCTCATGCTTCTGCTGTTATGAAACAGCTTAAGAGTATTAAGATTAGACACACACACACACACACACACACACACACACAAAAACCAAGACAGAAACGCACAACTTGAAGAAAAGTGATAGTTATAATTTAAGGGAAAAAAACTGAATTGTTTATGTGAGTATAACTTCAATTTAATTTTTGTTGGACTATAAAAATCTGAGTGAAACAAAGAGATACGTGGAAACATTTTGAATAATGTAATGACAGATAGAGAAAATCAAACAGTAAATACAGCGGTGATGTGAAAATGGATGAATTAAATATGACCATGACATAACAGAGCTCGCTCAGTGTCAAAGATAGATTGTACAACATTAAAGGGGACCTGTTATGCTCATTCCAGATTCACATCTGTTTGCAACACCTGGCTATTCCCGTCTTTGCATTGACTTTGTATGCAACCACACTGGGATGAAAAAATTCACTTTTCCTTTGGTCTGAACATAGGACTAAAAAAGTAATAGAACACAATTGATTGGGAATGACAGCCCCTCAAATCCATCCGTGTTTAAACTCCAGAAATCCAGAATATGAAAGCAGAGGGCACATACATCAACAACAGCAAGAAAGTTCGGTTTGGTAAATCTTACACCCATTTCCAGCGTTTTTGTTGCGACATGAAGGTGAAATTATTCTCTTAGTCACAATCTGTACAGAAAAATGAATCTCTATATCCCTGTTAACAGTTCTATGTGGAGGAAATGCATCAAACTGCCAAATGAATTGATTTAGAGGTCTGATGCTGATACCAGTAAATAATCTCACAGGATTACATACGATACTTTACCTCATTCTTTGTTTGTTGTTTGACGATGATGTTACATGAATCATTGTAACAAAAAATGTAGATAAATCATAATAGGTCTTCTTTAAATAACATTACAATAAATCTGTCTTCCCACTACTGATACTGTACTTTTAACTTTAACACTATAAATACAGTTACTATACCTTCTGTGTACAGTTATTTGCTGATGCTACTACCTTTGTTGTTTTTACCCTATATTTATATATATTTATACACATGAATATAGACATTACACTTTCATTGCACCTCAGTATGATGGCAATGAAGACTTTGAATCTTGAATCTTGGAATTTATTTTATATTTTTATATTTTGTACAAAACCCTAACCCATGTGTTGTTCTGAGATGTTTTTCTCTGCTGTGAATAATTGTTTTATTGCCCCACAGGGGATTCATCAATGTATATATTATTTATCAAGGTTAAAACTTCACTCCATCCAGTAGTTCAGAGTAGAAAAAGCAACATATACAGTAAAACTGCTCGAAAAGTACGAGTTAACCATTGAGGAGTTACATGAAATGACAGTTTTAAACAGTGATACAAACTTAGCAACAAAATGTAAACACTGCAAAGACTCCATCTACATAGAAATCTCATTTTCTGATGTTAAAGCAGTCACATAGACAGAGATGAGTTATACTCTCTAAAGCATTGCTTTACCCCCTATAATAGTCATCTCACACATGATTGGATTACAAACACATCTGAACACCTGGCATTTGGATAAAAATCGCTCTGTGATGTAGTGATGTGACGCAGTGTAGTAATGAGATTACTTCTTCTCTCCATGGATTTGTTGCTCTAGCCTTAAATATTGTTACTAAGTAATAGTAAATGATGTGAATATTATTTAATATTGACTGGGTATGTGCCGTTCATGTAAATAAAAAACTCAACCATAGTGAGGATAATTTATGTCAGAATGAAAGCTGTGTTTGTGTCCTCTCTGAGGCCAAGGCATGTCAACTCATACCAGTAATAATCGGATCAGTTAATGTCCAAATATTGTGCATTGTCCCTTTAAGAAACACAAAACCAAATTCTTCATTTGATCCTGATTCTAAAATCCTGATTTCAGGGTTTCAGTGTGTGATCATGACACGT